TCCGCTAGCTCGCCGTTGAGGAAGGCCGATTTAACGTCCAAGTGATGGACGCGCCAGTCCTTTGCTGCTTCCTTTGCTGCTGCCAAAGCAAGTAGCAAACGGACCGACTCCATATGCGCTACTGGTGCAAAGACCTCCTCGAAATCGATGCCCTCGCGCTGGACAAAGCCTCGGGCGACGAGGCGCACCTTGTACTTGACAATGGCACCGAGCTCGTCCCTTTTGACTTTGTATACCCACTTCAGGTTGATCGGACGGCATCCTGGGGGTGGATCGACGAGCTGCCAAGTCTCGTTTTCCTCGATCGCCTTCATCTCCTCCAGCATTGCCCGTCGCCAGTTTCCATCGCGCTCGGCTAGCGCGAACGTGGGTGGTTCCTCTGCACTGATGAGTAGCAGCTCTGCGTCGTTGAGCAGCCTACCCGCCAGACCTGAGGGACCTGTGCCGCCGACGATGTCGTCCAGACTACGGAATCTCAACTCCTCACCTTCGTGGTAGGCGTCCACAAACTCAGTGATGTCACTTGGAGGTGAGGTGAACTTGATCGGGGGTGATGGAGTTCCTTCTTCCGCCGGAGTGCTCTGCATAGCACCTGAAGTGCTCGGCACTGCTTCTGGACTGCTCGTCATAACTCCTGCAATGTTCGGCCACACTGTAGGAGTGCCCAGCCTTAGTCTTAGAGTGGTTGCAACCACAATAAGACGTCTTGGCTCCGCCACGGGAGTGCTCGGCACCCGTCCTGAAGTGGTTGCCACCACTGCAGAACCACCTGGCTCCACTTCTGGCGTGCTCGACATCCCTCCAGAAGTGCTCGACACTCCTCCCGGAGTGCTCGACATCCCTCCTGAAGTGCTCGGCACTGCCCCAGAAGTGCTTGACTCTACCGCCGGAGTCCTCGGCGCTCCTCCCGGAGTACGTGGCACCTGTTCCATAGCGTCTCCACCGCCGTGGATGACCAAGTACTCGACGACGAAGGTGTTGGTGAAGCCTCCCGCTTCCCCCATGCTCGGATCTGTGCGGGCCCCAAAGCGCCTCCTCGTTGAACACAACGTCGCGCGAACGATCACCTTGTCTCCGCGTGGGTCATAGAGCCGATGCGCCTTGGTACCCTCCGCGTAGCCCAGAACACCATGGGTGTGCTCTCATCCTCCGGCTTGGTGAGGTTCGGCCCGTCTTCCGACGTGGCGATGCAAGCTGAATGTCCGGAGGAATGACACGTTCGGCTTGCTCCCGTACCAAGCTTCGAACGGCGTCTTGCACGTTAGGGCTTTGGTTGGAGCACGATTGAGGATGAATACCGCCGTGGTCACCGCCTCTCCCCAGAACTTTGCCGGCATCCCTTTGGCCTTCATCATGGATCGGGCCAAGCCAACCACTGTCTGGTTCCGTCGCTCCACCACGCCATTCTGTTGTGGCGAGTACGGCGCAGTGTGATGTTGCCCCACACCTTGATCCGCGCAGTACATAGCAAACTCCATCGAAGTGAATTCACCACCTCGATCAGTCCTCAGTACACGGAGCTTCTTGCCGCTCTCGGCCTCCGCGCGCGTCTTAAACTTTTTGATCACCACCGCCGCTTCGTCCTTGCTCGTCAGGAGTTGCAGCCACATGTAGCGACTGCAATCGTCCACGAGTAGGAGGAAGTACCGCCGACCACCGTATGTAGCAGGCGTGATCGGCCCGCAGAGGTCGCCGTGAACTAGCTCGAGAGCTTCCTTCGCGCGATACTTGGCCGCCTTTGGGAAAGGTAGCCTCCTCGCTTCCGGCCGCCAGTATCAATGCCACGGCTTCGCCGCCGTGTTTGATGTGGGGTAGCCCTCGGACCATCTTCCCTAGCCGACCAAGCGCGTCGAAGCTGAGATGTCCGAACCGAGCATGCCACATCCACGGTTCCTCGGAGTGCCTTGCCGCCAGGCAAACCGACTGCTCTACCTTCAGGTCGAGCAGGTACAACTGGTTCAGGGACCTCTTCACCTTGGCGAAGTCGCCGCTCCGGTCTCTCGATCCTCGTAACGCCGCCCTGATCGAAACTCGCCATCTGCGCTCATCCGGTGACCAATGCCGATGATCTTGGAACGCATTGCGGGATGTAGTATACATCCGTTAGCGCGCGGTGCTCCCCGTTCTGGCATCTGAAGATGATGGTGCCGCCCCCTTGGATAGCCACCCTTGAACCGTCACCAAACTTCACCGTACCGGTAACATCACCGTCGAGCTCGGAGAAGGAGTCCTTGGAGCCCATCATGTGGTTACTGGCACCAGAGTACAGATACCACCACTGCTCCTGGTCGACGCCCACATGCTCAAGATGGACTTGGGCGCGTGGTTCATCGAGGTTGACGGTCTTCAGGGACTTGCTAGATCCTTCCACCGTCGTTGCCTCTTCCCTCTCCATGGCCTCGACGCCGTGTAGTGCACCGAACGTCGCTATAAGGATAGTGGCCTCATCCTCATCATCGGCTTTCGCCAGGTGAGCCTGAGCCTTCTTTTCCTTCTTGTGATTTGGGCACTCCCGTGCCCAATGGCCCATCTTCCCACAACACTGACAGGCGTTGGAGTCGATTTGCTTCTTCTCTGAAGAAGCCCTGCCGCGATGTTTGCCGTTGCCACCGCGACTAGAGGAGGCTGCCTTCCTGGAGTTTCGCCGAGCAGCCCACTCCTCTTCCGTCAGCAGGAGTTTCCCGCTGTCCTTCGTTGCTGTCGCCTGCTCCAGGCGCTCGTCCACCGTCCGCAGACGGCCTGCCACATCCTCGATGGTGAGGGTGGACAAGTCCAGCATCGTCTCTATGGAGAGAGCGACCTGGATGTACTTTTTGCCAAAGACGGAGTGGAGGAATTTGGAGACCGCCTCCTCTTCGTCGATGGTGACGCGACGCGGCTCTTCACTTGCCGATGAGCATCTGCGCAGACGGGGAAAAGTCCTCCACTGTTTCACCATCCTTGAACTTGAGGTTTGCATACTCCTCGCGCTTGTAAGCCGGGCGTTGCCTTCTTTGCGCTGGTCGGAACCGACGCGCATCGCCGCAATGGCCTCCCACGCCTCCTTAGCTGAGCTCTTCGTCCCCAACGGTTCCCTATACTCGCCGCCGACAAAGCAGCGAGGATAGCCTCTAACGCCGACATGTCGTCTTCTTCTTCCACGTCGGTGCCCTTGTCAACAACATTCCAGAGCCGCGGGCTCGAAGCTTGACCTTCATGGTCACCGACCACTCTCCATAGTTAGTGCGAGTCGGCGTCGGCCAAGTGGGTGCCGGCCGACCTCCCGCACCGCGTCGCGGACAACTACCTCCGATAGTGGTGGGCAGCTATGATAAAGGCTGCCCTCGCCATCGCCTAACTCCAAACCGCTTTGTCCTCGCCATCGGTTAGAATGACGACGGCGCTTGTGCACGGCTCGATACCACTTGTTGGCCCACGGGATTACCGGTCGACGATAGTGAACTAGTCTCCGCACCACTAGTCTCCTGCACTGCACCACTAGTCTCCTAGACTACTAGTCTCAGATCACTAGTCTCCCTGCACTGCACAACACTAGTCTCCTGCACTGCACCACCTGGTCTCCTCCCTGCACCACTATCTGAGTTGTGTCCGTACCCACACACTACGGATCGAGGTACAAGAATAAGGGAGAACAGAGCAAGCATGCACAATACAAGACAACAACGTTGGCCGAGGCCCTGTCTGTATGATGGCAAATCTGAGCTCTTTTTACTGAGTTGCCTTGGTGCCCTATTTATACAACTCTATCTATCTAACTAAAGTACAGCGCACATGTCATAACAAAGAACTAGATAAGTATACATGGCTGACTCTCTGCGTCGGTCCTTGCATGTGTCTCTGATTACTCTGAGTGAGCCGTGTGCGCGTGCACTGCACCGCAGCTGCTACTGATATTACAGCAGGGGACAAAATCGACGCCGCCTTCCTCTGCTGTGTTTGACACAAAGTGGCAGTAGATTAGGTAACACCCACGCGCGCTTGACGATCTCATCAAAGCCATCCAGGCGCACCCAAAATTCCTCGAAACGGAACCTCGGCTTATCCCAAGAGTTCGACTGTAGCTGCAACAGCAGTGGAGTGTGATCCGAGTAGTCGGACGACAGCGACATGAGGTGGTGATTTGGGTACGCTTCAAGCCACGGAACGGTGGCGAAGGCACGGTCAATACGCTCCTATAGTAGGACGCCGTCTCTCATTACTCCAAGTGTAGAGCCTTCCATGGAGATAGAGCTCGTCTACTTGCAAGTCATCTAGAGCCCGATGAAAGCGACGCATCGACCTGAGGTTTAACAGGTCATTGCTTTTGTCCCTTGCTTGGTAAATCAAGTTAAAGTCGCCACCGATCAACAAGGGGCCATCACAATCCGCGCGTATCTCCCTGAGTTCGTTTAGGAACTCCAGCTTCAAATTTTCCTCGACCGGCCCGTAAACCGTAGCTAGCGACCAAAGCTCCGAAGACGAGCCCGCTGGCACCAGACAGACGGCCATGGAAAACTGTTGAGCGACATGCCTGTGCGCCGACCAGTCATTGCGACACCAGGCTACAACAATTCCCCCAGAGGCCCCCACGGCCGGCAAGCAAACATAGTCAAAGGACATTCCCATTAATTCATTGGCCATAGCCGAGGACAATACATCGATCTTCGTCTCGACAAGACAAAGCACAGAAACACGTTCTTGCAACAAGAACTCGCGCACGACCGCACGCCGGGCCCTCATATTGAGGCCACGGACGTTCCAGATGAATATGTTAGGACCTAACATTGGACAACAAATTGAGAGTAGCAGTGACCTAGGCGGCGTGAACGGATTCCTTCCCGGGAAAAGGACCTGCATCGCCTCTCGCTTTGAAGGAGTAAGCGGCAGGGTAAAGGCTTCCTGGAACTCTTGAAAGGACGCCTCATCCGGGAACTGGGTCTCCATCTCGAAGCCCAATCGCTTCATCATTGCCTTGCTCGCCTGCGCTTCGGGGCGCATCTCCCTGTACTTGCTCTTGGCCGCTAGCCTTGCGCTTCTCTTGGGGACGAGCTCGTCGTCGTCGACCACACCCTTGCCAGCTTGGTGACCCGAAGGATCGGTGTTGACAGAACGGGCTGCGGCAGAGTCTTCTTGAAGGAGTCGATGAAGGCATGAACCGGCATGGGTTCATCGTCGCCGTCGTGCGCACCGACAGTCACATGGTCGTCATCCGCCACTGCGACCACGAGTTCATGGACCACCTCCATGGGAGCGGAAGGCGAGGACAGACATGCGGCCTGCTCCATGACGATGGTGGGCCTGGGAGAGCTCTGCCCTGAGCTGCAATCCTCCGGCCCAGAGAGGCAGAGATCAACCGCATGGGCCACCTCTTTGTCCCCGTCCTCCAAGCAGCCGAAGGATGGCCCAAGCACCAGGTCCGGCCCATCCCAAGAGGCCTGAAAGTGGAGCACCGTGCGGCCCACCAGCAGCTGTGGATCCTCCTCCAGGGCGGCCCCCACGAAGCCACGACGCCAACTGCCGGACCGGCGACTCCCACGCGGACAGCAGTCGACGGAGGGTGCGGCAGAACAGGTAGCGACCCTCGGCGTGCAAAGACCCGCTTCGACGAGCATCGGGTCTGCCGCTGATAGGTTGACAGGAGAGGGTGAGCATGGCCACCAGAGAGGCAAGTCAACTTGCTCTTCAAAGGGTTGTGCGACACGCGTCCCGCACTCGGCAGGAATCGTGCTACCCGCCTGGCGACAGGGCATGGCCACGCGCGGCGCCTCGACTTGCGCCTCCACGGGTCGGACGACATGCGTCCCGGACTCGCCAGGAATCCTGCTGCCAGATTGGCAATAGGGCATGGCCGCGTGCGCCGCCTCGACAGGGCAGGTCACCTAGCCCACCTGGATGGCCCTCCTCGAACCGCGCGCCCGGAAGGCGGGCCCGGAACCCTTCCCAAGCGCTGGGTCGCTGTCGCGACCGAAGCGGGTCGTCCGCGGCCGCGACCGGCTACCGTCGCCGCTGAATCCCGGGTGGAACCCGTTATAGTTGCTGTTGTCTCTGTCTTCATCATCATCTCCGGCGTTGTACATCTCGTCGTCCGACGATGGCGGCGGCGTGTGCCAGTCTTGGAACTCCACAATCCTGAGCCGCAGCAGGTACCTCAACGCCGGCACCTCATCGTGGATGATTTCCCATGGCCGGAGATACAAAGGCGAGCCCCCGTCGTGCTCCTCCTCAGGCTCAGGGATGGCCATGTCCGGGTGTGCGCACCAGGCTGCGACGAACAGCTCGCGCTCGTCGTCGGGATCCACGAGCGCGTCGGGGTTTGTGATCTCCACCCATGCGCTGGACGAACCAAGAATAGTCTGGGCGGTGTCGGAGGATCTTGCATGTGTTGGTATCCCCTTCATTCCGACGAGCACCCGGTAGCGGAACGCCCCCGCCGACGCCATGAAAAGACGACTCCACCGGCACCAGCGGAGCGCAAACGGGGCGGCGGCCGGCCACGGGGTGCTCAGCACCATCTCCTGATCTTCTGGTCGGCTGAAGCGGAAGTCATCGGGCTTGGTGCGATGCACAGCGACCAGGTTGTCCGCAATGCCGAAGTACTCCCCGAGCAGGTCCCGCACCATCGCCGGCGACACCGGCGGCCGCGTGCCAAGCACCAGGGCAAGAGACAGAGCATCCTCCGCCGCCTGGATGGCCGGTGTATGCGGGACGACGACCATCTCCAGAAGCGACGTCCTGGCAAGCGTCCTTGGCGAAGCCGGCGGCGCCTGAACTCGCCAGAGTAGGGAGCGTGGGACAAGATGTGGGCGCTCTGACGCCCCCGCATCAACCGCATCAGGGGCAGCATCGGCAGCAGCCCCCGCGGCGTCGTTGTCGACCGCAATGCCCGCACCGCCGGGAGCAGCATGAGCACCCAGCCCCGGCGCATCCACAGGCGCGCCGTGGGCACCCTGCTCCACCCGAGCATCCACTGCCGGCGCGTCCGCAAACCCATCACCGGGGTGGTCCGGCGTCGGTGGCTCGTAGACCGGCGGAACGGAGGGATCACGATCGGTGGAGACCGAACGGGCAGACGCAGTGTCCGCAGACGAGGCTCGACGACAGGAGTGTGAGGCCCGGCGACGGCGGGCGCCCCGAGCAAACCCTGCGATGTGAACAGGGGAGCGACCACGCTTGCCCTCGCCGCGTCCGGCGATCGGTGGCAGTGGACAGTCACGGGCTTGATGGCCAGCCTCCTTGCAGTTGAAGCATTTGGACGGCATCGTGCAGTCCGCGCACGTGATCAGAAGCTAGGCAGTTGAAGCACTTACCAACCAGATCCGGGGGGACCGGCTGCGACTTGCCACGACGGCGCGCCGCCAACACCGGCGGCTGTGGACTTGCCTGAAGCCGTCCGATTCCGGCTCAGCGGTCATGCGGGCAGGATGGACGACGATGGACGCCAACCTGCGCAGAGGCGGAGATGGCGGCCTAGAGTTGGCGCGCCGCGCGTCGGCCATGAAACCCGCGTTGTTGCGACGACGGTGGCGCCTGCGCTGCTTCCTCGGAAGGCGGATAGCCTTCCCACGACCCACGGGCGGCGGCGCGTCGGAGTCGTCGAGGGATGCCTCGGAGTCAGAAGCATAGCCTCCCCCCCCCCCCCGCCCCCAGGAGACGCGGAGAAAGGCTCCGCGTTCGGGTCAAGGGAGCTGGACCGAAGGACGTGGGTGGCGTGGGCAGCGGCAGCAAGCGGAGGAAGGTGGATCTCGCCGAGCTCCGGCCAGCCTCCTCCTCCTCCTCAACCTCGTCCGCCCAGGAGCGGCGGGAGGGGGAGCCGCGCTCCATGCGTGAGTGGTCAGTGCGATCGGAGTGGTCAGCGGCGAGGGCTGGTGGACGCCGGGGCCGGGGTGGCCGGCGGCGGCGGAAGGGGGTGGGAGCTTACCTCACTCGCTCTCCTCTGGTGCCTGCCTAATGATAATAGCCTTCAGCCCCCTTAGTGAATGTACTTATATTAGGATCCCAACTCCTGAGAAATGCCACTGGTAAAAACCTCCCTCAAGTAGATAGACGCATGGAGCCATAGACATCTTACTCATAACTCATGCAAATATGCAGTTGCGAATTACTGACCCCAATGATGGACATGATTTTTGGCGATAAACTTTGATAAATTACATGTTTAACTGGTTACCCATCTTGACATCTTGTGTATATGGAGTCACTACTGCTGATTTTCTGGCGCCAATTTGGGAAGCTATTTGTGTTGTGTGATTTGCCAATGCTTTTCTTTAGGCTTCTCATCCAGAAAGCACCAACCTGCAGCTGCAGGAGTCAAGACTCGAAATGTATTTTTGACACACCAACTGCTTAAATACAGTTCATTCAGAGTGCACAGATCCATGCATATTCAGATTTAAACCCAGAAACTACAAGCTAATACATGTTTTTGAGAGTTCTAGGGCATTGCCCCTGTCTTAGCATTAGCAAAGACAACCATGTTCATTACTGCATTCAGGTGTAGCACACCCGTCCATGGAGTTCAAACACATAACAGAAACTAAAAACAGAAACACTCAGCCTCAGCGAAACTCGTTCGGCTTGCTAAATCTTGGCTGAAATTGACTGAAAACACTGTTCTGGCTGAAATGTTGTGAGAGAAAAATACTGTTCCGACTGAAAAAAGAAGCCGAACAAACCAGATATGGGGTAAGCCGAACGGGGCCTTTCAGTAAGCTAAACCAAGACCCCTTGCTGTTAGGAAAACCACCTGAAACCTTGTCAGTCTACATAAGCTGCACCTCCTCCGGGAGTTCTCTGTTCTTCCAGTTGAAGGCCTCTTGAAACATGTATTTGTCCCACTTATCCTCCACGTGAGCTAGTCAGAATTTCTCTCCGGTCTTGTGGCTAGCCGTTTCAGTTCATCATTGAAGAGAACTCCTGCTTCTTCTTTTGTGGACAAAGTAAGCTCCATCCTTGTAGCATAACTGCCAGATTTAAGAGTAGTGACCTCATGTCTTTCCAAGCCATATCCTGAAAACAAATTCTATTTAACTTCTCCTTAACTCTTTACTGTTTTTCTGTGTGGTTATCTTTCTTGTTGGTGTCCACTCTGCTACCTGCGATACTCAGTTTGTGGTTTACAAATTTACTTATTTGCTTGGCAAATAGGCTTTATAATTTCAGAAGTCACAGAATGATAAGAATACAACCATTGTACATCTGTTGGCCCACAAGATCACCAGCTCAAGGTGAGTGAACCACTCACCAGTCTTGCCGAGCACCCGTTAGTGTTACCGAGCACCCACTAACTGTGCCGACCACGAACAAGCGTTATCCGTCCCCACACACTATGGCTAGAGCTAGAAGAAAAAGGGAGAACAGAGACACACACAATACAAGACACCAGCATTGGGCGAAGCCCAGTATGTGAGATGGCAAATCTGAACTCTCTTTACTGAGTTGCCGTGGTAGTCTATTTATACAACTATATCCATCTAGTCCCAAAGACAGCCTGCCCTGCTGCTGCAACAAATGACTAGATAACATACATGGTGACTTCTGCGCCAAGCCCTTTGCATGTGCCTCTGAGTCTTTGCAGTAGGTAAGCGTGCGGCGCCGCACTGCAGCAGCGCCTCTGATATCACAAAGAGGGGCCTTTTCGGCGCCGCCTTTCCTTATTGTGTTCACACAAGGTAGTAGTAGATTATCTAACAATCTTTCCCTAATCCTACTGCTAACCCTTATACCCCCTCCATGCCGATCATCTCCTTCAGCTCCATGAGTCGAAGACGTCCGAGCGGTTTGGTGAGGACGTCCGCGAGTTGCCGACCAGTTTCGACGAACTCGATGACAATCTGCCCTTCATCGACACAGTCCCTGAGGAACTGGAACTTCACGTCGATGTGTTTACTCCGGTCGTGCAGAACCGGATTCTTCGCGAGGGCGATGGCGGGCTGGTTGTCCACCATCAGTGCTAGTGGGTGAGCTTCCACGCCGGTCAACTCACCCAGCAGCCGGCGTAGCCACACAACTTGGCACGCCGTTGTGGCCGCCGCTACGTACTCTATCTCGCACGTAGATAGCGCCACTACCTTCTATTTCAGCGACAATCATGAAATTGGGGCCGATCCGAGGAATATGAGCACCTCAGAGGTGCTCCGTTGTCCGTCGATGTCCCCTGCCATGTCTGCATCGCTAAACACAGCGAGCTGCAGCCTACTCTGGCCGGTCTTTGGAAAGATGATCCCATGATCTATTGTCCCCTTGACGTAGCGCAGTAGCCGCTTTACCGCAGCCCAGTGATCCTCTTTGGGATCCTCCATGAAGCGACTGACGTAGCTCATGGCGAACGCAATGTCCGACCTCGTGTGGACTAGGTATCGCAGACCGCCGATGATGCTCCGATAGAATGTCACATCCACCTTCGCCGCGGTACTGGTCTTCGTCAGCTTCAGCTGCTCCTCCATCGGAGTCACGCATGGCTTGCACTCAGTCATGCCGCTCCTCTCCAACAGCTTGGAGGCATACGCACTCTGACCGAGCGTGAGTTCCTCCTTCCCCTGTCTCACCTCGATGCCGAGATAGTAGGAGAGTGCCCCGAGATCGCTCATTCAAAAACGAGCCGCCATCTCGTGCTTGAAGCTGTTGATATCCTCCGTGCGCGCGCTGGTGATGATTAAGTCATCCACATACACGCCGACGATGAGCTCCTCCTTCCCCCGTCGCCGCGTGTAGAGCGCGTGCTCGGTTGCGCACCGTTGAAACCCAAGTTCGCCCAGCGTGGCGTCAAGTTTGGCGTTCCATGCTCGAGGGGCCTGCCATAGCCTGTAGAGCGCCTTGCGCAGTCGAAGCACCCTGTGCTCCTCTCCCTTGATGGTGAAACCTGGAGGTTGCCTGACGAAGACCGTTTCCGCCAGCTCGCCATTGAGGAAGGCCAATTTAACGTTCAAGTGATGGACGCGCCAGTCCTTTGCTGCTGCCAAAGCAAGTAGCAAACGGACCGACTCCATGCGCGCTACTGGCGCAACGACCTCCTCGAAGTCTATGCCCTCGCGCTGAACAAAGCCTCGAACGATGAGGCGCGCCTTGTGCTTGACAATGGCACTGAGCTCGTCCCGTTTGACCTTGTATACCCACTTCAGACTGATCGGACGGCATTCTGGAGGTGGATCGACGAGCTGCCAAGTCTCGTTTTCTTCGATCGCCTTCATCTCCTCCAGCATCGCCCATCGCCAGTTTCCATCGCGCTCGGCAAGCGCGAACGTGGGCGGTTCCTCTGCACTGACGAGTATCAGCTCTGCGTCATTGAGCAGCCTGCCCACCAGACCTGAGGGACCTGTGCCGCCGATGATGTTGTCTAGCCTGCGGAATCGCACCTCTCACCTTCATGGAAGGCATCCACGAATTCAGTGATGTTACTTGGAGGTGAGGCGAACTCGATCAGTGTCGATGGAGTTCCCTGTTCCGTCGGAGTGCTTGGCACAACACCTTGAGTGCTCGGCACTACTTCTGCACAGCTCGTCATAACTCCTACAGTGTTCGGCCACACTATAGGAGTGCCTTGCCTCAGTCTTGGAGTGGTCGACACCACTATAAGACGTCTTGGCTCCGCCGCGGGAGTGCTTGGCACCCGTCCTGAAGTGGTCGCCACCACTACAGAACCTCCCGGTGCCACTCCTGGCATGCTCGGCATCCCTCCAGGAGTGCTCGTCACTCCTCCTGGAGTGCTCGGCATCCCTCCCGAAGTATTCGGCACTCCTCCTGGAGTGCTCGGCACCTCTTCCCCAGCGTCTCCACCACCGTAGATGACCAAGTGTTCGACGACGAAGGTGCTGGTGAAGCTGCCAGCTTCCCCCATGCTCGGACTGCTCCAGTCCCAAGCCGCCTCCTCGTCGAACACGACGTCGCGTGAGACAAGCACCTTGTCTCTACGTGGGTCGTAGAGCCGGTACGCCTTGGTACCCTCCGCGTAGCCCAGGAACACCATGGGTGTGCTCCTGTCCTCTAGCTTGGTGAGGTTCGGCTTTGTCTTCCTGACGTGGCCGATGTAGCTGAATGTCCGGAGGAAGGACACGCTCGGCTTGCGCCCATACCAAGCTTCGAACGGCGTCTTGCCCGTCAGGGCCTTGGTCGGAGCGCGGTTGAGGATGAACACTGTCGTGGTCACCGCCTCACCCCAGAACCTTGCCAGCATGCCTTTGGCCTTCATCATGGATCGGGCCATGCCGACCACCGTCTGGTTCCGTCGCTCGACCACGCCATTCTATTGTGGCGAGTATGACGCTCTTCAGCTTGCTAATGAGCGTCTGCAGGCGAAGGGAGAAGTCCTCCACCATTTCGCCATCCTTGAACTTGAGGTTGGCGTACTCCTGCTTCAGAAGCTGGGCCGTTGCCTTCTTTGCGCGGTCGGAACCGACGCGCATCGCCGCAATAGCCTCCCACGCTTCTTTAGCCGAGCTCTTCGCCCCCAACAGCTCCCTGTACTCCACCGGTACAGCAGCGAGGATAGCCTCCAGCGCTGATATGTCATCTTCTTCATTGTCGGTGCCCTTGTCAATAGCATTCCAGAGCCGTCGGGCTCTGAGCTTGATCTTCAAGGTCACCGACCACTCTCCATAGTTGATGCGAGTCAGCGTCGGCCAACTGGTGCCGCTGACCTCCCGCAACGCGCGAACAACGACCTCCGGTCGTGTCTGGGCAGCCACATCAGTGCCACTGCTGTCGCCCATCTCCGAACCGCCCATCATCACCAGCGGTTAGTCTGGCGAAGGCGCTTTTACGGCTCTGATACCACTTGTTGGCCTACAGGATCACCGGCTCAGGTGAGTGAACCACTCACCAGTCTTGCCGAGCACCCGCTAGTGTTGCCGAGCACCCACTAGCCGTGCCGACCACGAACAAGCGTTGTCCGTCCCCACACACTATGGTTGGAGCTAGAAGAAGGAAGAACAGAGCAAGCACACACAATACAAGACACCAGCGTTGGTCGAAGCCCAGTCTGTGAGATGGCAAATCTGAACTCTCTTTACTGAGTTGCCGTGGTAGTCTATTTATACAACTCTATTCATCTAGTCCCAGTACAGCTGCCTTGCTGCAACAGTGACTAGATAACATACAGGTCTGACTCTGCGCTGGCCACTGCATGTGTCTACAGTGCTGCAGGTGAGCCGTGCGGCGCCTGCACCTGCAATGGCTACAGTATCACAGCAGGGAGCCTTTTCGACGTCGCCTTCCCTTGCTGTGTTCACACAAGGTAGCAATAGATTATCTAGCAACATCTCCCCTTATATTACCTGATCTTTGCATCACTGCAATACATATCAAGTAGCACTACTGAGGAACTACAAGTTTTACACACTGCTAGGTGCTGAACTACTGATATCGCGATGGTAAAGGGAAAAAAAGCCCTTCAGTTGTCTGTTGAGCATTCTTGCTTGCCTGTTATTCCAAATCAGCGACTTATTTGAATGGGGCTACAAATTTGGAAAGTAGTGCCTAGTTATCATGCAAATTGCAAAATCTCAGTGATGGTCGCTTCCTTGTTGCAAGTTACCCAGTCCAAAGTATGTTCCAGCAGGACCCTTGGCCATGAGGGATGCATGTGTACCTGTCTCCACAACAATTCCTTTCTCAGGCACGGTGATATGGTCGCAGTTCTGGATAGTGCTTAGCCTATGTGCCACAACTACACTAGTCCTGCCAACTGATACTCGGTCCAGCGCCTGTTGCACCACCTTCTCTGACTGGCTGTCCAGTGCACTTTTAGCTTCATCCAGTAGCAAGATAGCAGGGTTCTTCAAGATTGCACGGGCGATTGCAATGCGCTGCTTCTGACCTCCTGACAGCTGAACACCCCGCTCACCACACCATGTGTCATATCCATCCTTTAGGTTACTAATAAAGTCATGTGCATTGGCGGACCTTGCTGCATTCTCAATTTCTGCCTCACTCGCTCTTTCTGTTCCATACATAATGTTCTCTCTAATGGTACCTGCAAATAATGTTGGCTCCTGGCTGACTAGGTCAATGTGCCGTCGCAGGGCTCGAGAGATTGTATGTTTTGATGTCTCTACCATCGACCTCTACCACCCCCCTTAGTGGCTCATAGAACCGCTCTGTAAGTCCAATGATTGTTGATTTACCTGAACCACTTTGCCCAACAAGGGCTGTCGACATGCCTGGCTGTATGCTTAAAGTTGAATCCATTGAAGATGACCACATCTGGCCTTGATGGGTATGCAAAATCAACTTCTTTAATGTTGACCTCACCCATGAGTTTCTCTGGTTTGTATCCCTCAGGGCTGTCAGGGTTAATTTCTGATTCCCGGTCAAGAATAGCAAACACTGAAGCGACTGCATCAGCACCCTTAGCAAGGTCTGTTGTCACGCTACCTGCATCTGCAATTACACGTCCTGTGCCTAATAGAATCGTGAAGGTTTGGTAGAGGGCCTTAGCAGTAATGTGATGTTCAGCAATGAGCTTGCCACCATACCAGAAGTCGAGGGCTGCAGTGCATCTAAACAGACTCATGGACGTGCCAAGGCCAAAACCTGCAAACCATGATTGCCGAATGCTTTCATTGCGTGGTCCATCTTGTGCTTGGTCAAAGAGGCGCAAGATGCGTTCCTGGGATGAGAAAGTAGTGATGGTGCGAAGATTAGAGAGCCTCAGCTGCTAGCTTACTACATTCAGATTGTGCATGTATAGATTACTTTGACACATGCTCTTTAGTAAGACACGACGGGCATAAAAGCAGATGATGATAAGAGGCTGGACTGCTATCATCACAATTCACAAGGGCTAAACGCCAGGCAATTATCAGACCCATGATGCAGGCAATGAGAACCGCAGAAATTGTTTGGATCACCAGAGACATTCTATCACCCACTAGTGACCGCACCTACAACACAAATATTATGTCCTGTAAGTTACTCTTGTTTTCTAAATACTCATAAGCTTCAATCAAAATATTTATATTTACACGTCTATCATACAATGCTTGGATATCCTTCCAGATTCAAACGGGCCGGACACACTACTAGTAGTACATTACTGCCCCGAGAAGGCATTTTCTCCTGCTGCTGTTGTGTTCAGTCCTTGAAGCTAGCGCTACCATACCAAGTAGGAGTATTTATACATTCTACTATCTCAAAAGGAAAGAAGTAGGAGTATATTCTAAACATTTTCAGCACAAAAAGTCACAATCATATGTACGTTCATCAATGCAAGGGAGTGCTAATGAACAGAAACCACAGTACTACTACTAGTAGTACACATGATCGAAGAAATAAAGCAGGAACTGCACCATGCATCATCGATCTATCAGTACGACGTACATTGTCTCAAAAACTAAACCCAAACGTGCGTGCGTGCGTTCGTTTGCACAAAACTGCTCATCGTCTATCTAACAAACGGATAAAGAAACATCAAGCCATCCATCGTATCATCAGAAAGATCATAGCATCCTCTCCTGGCGTGCTTTCACGCAATTGAAGATACACTCCTTACTTTGCAGTCGTCAGATTAATCCTCTACCCTGCCGGCTGCCCGCAGACGACTCGATCTTCCCTTAATTCGCACCACCATTGTTAGACCCTTCCAGCCTGCCAAACCTTCAATCACCACAGCAGATGGATACCACACCACATGTTAGTAGTCAACACCAATAGGACTTGAGCCCATTTCTTTGATTTTTTTACAATATAAGATTGATCGAGCACAAATGGGTGAATTTCTTAAATTCTAAGGCCGACACATACAAAAGGCCTCCCAATCCCAAATATGTGTATAGAAGGCAAAAACACAGGCAGTACTGTATATGATCAAATTTACTAATCAATCATGCATGTCATACACATATCTACATGCATGGCTTTCACATAGAAGCAGGAATAGACATCACGCTTTTACAGTATTATTATTTTTTAGAAGATAAGTTTAACCTACACTACACTAGCTATTTGGATAGTTCGACTGAAGCTTGCAAATTGATAGCCGTGCCATACATCTACATGCATGACTATAATTTAGATTACATATAAGCAGGCAAAAACATTGTGCGACATGTAATGTAAGTACATATATACATACTGCTACTTCCAAAATAATTAAACAAGTGATGTTTTCAATTTTCAAAGGGAAATGCCCATGTATATTAGTAGTGGAAGGAGAGACCAGGACATGCATCTATGCAGGCTCTATACCCGAACCTATCTTCAAAAGTTCAGAACCTCTACTCAAACAAGTCTTTATTTCATTCTCGATCCTGAATTAAGCTGATCGGTTTCAAAGAAACAACGACGGCAGTACTAATGAACAGATGAACTTGACAGTGAATATATAGCAACTCAAAACATGTGCATATACAACAGAATCAGTTAGAAGACAACATGCAACAACTAATTAGGTTGTACTACGTTACACCAATAGTTCCTCAAAAAAGGATCATCACATTTCCAGATCTAAACTAGGCCCAAAATATTATACAGCACACGAGGACATCAGGAGCAGTTCACGCAGGCTACAATATATATAGAGAACAAATTTCAAACTAGCAAAACAGCCCCCTGCGTTTTGGACATATACGTGGCACACAACACCAGCTACTCGCTAACACAATTCTGCGCGGCGCATGAATGGATCAGACTATCGGAGTTTCATCCTTCATGGACTCAAGAAAAACCAAATAAAACGAAATGCTAGGAATAATGTCTAGTTTAAGAGGGCACATATAGATGAAGGTGACATGAGCGTGTGACTAAAGCACAAAACAATTGATATATATATTTGTGCACGTTCAGCATGCAATTCTGTAGCAACAGCTAGAGATCATCCAAGTTACTACGGAGTACGGAGTAAATATCACAGCACAGGCACAGCAGAGCAGAGCAGAGACAGAAATAAAAGGGGAAGAAACAGTGACGAAATTGATTGATCGGATCGGAGAAGGAACGAAATTGAGCTGGGAGGATTAGAATAGATCAATACAATACCTGCGGGCTGCGGGTGCGGCGAGCGCGGGCGGCAGCTTCCAAGCGAGAAGGGAGGACGAAGAGACGTCGGTATCGTCCATACCGTGCGGTGCGTACCCCAGCACCACATGCTTCCAGATGTCGAAGCCGAAGAGGTAGTCGCCGAGGAAGAAGTAGAGGAGGTCGGTGTCGTTGGGGTCGATGAGCGCGAGCACGGGTTGTTCGTACTTGGGCATCTCAGCCGCCTTGAAGGTGTCGGACTCCCAGATGAAGCAGAAGGAGAAATCACCGCGCCAGTGCGGGAGCAGCTCGAAATCCAACCGGTAGCCGTCGTCGTCCCCACCAAGGACCGCATAGATGGAGAGGAGGGGCGCGCCATTCAGGATCGGAGCCCCGTCCTCCGTCTCGTCAAGATCACATAACACATGGACCCAGCGGAGCGTGCCGTCGGCGACCTGCACGTAGTCGTAGGCTGAGGCTTTGGCTCTGGCTTCAACGGCGGTGACGTGGTTCGGGAAGGGGACGAAGGACATGCTCGGTTGGTCGGCGAAGGGGTCGCAGTAGAGGAGCCCCTTGGTGGTGGTGTCGACCCACCAGAGCTTGCCGTCGTGGGCGATGACGTCGCTGAAGGTCCAGGTGCGGTGCGGGCGCGGGTTGTTGACGTCCTTGGTGACCCAGACGCCAGTCCGGGACGAGAAGCAGTGCAGCGAGGCCCTGTCGTTGCCGATCGAGCACCGGAGGCCGACGACCATGAAGCTGGCGCCGTCCGGCGCGGCGATGACGCCGAACCTAGCGAAGCCGGGGGCGGGGTCGGGGATGCGGTGGGACGTGCAAGAGGCGGCGTCGAGGACGAAGCAGCAGATGTCCGTTGCGGCGCTGGTGCTGGCGCTGGAACTGGACGCGGTCGGCTGCGGCGTCGGCGTGACGGTGAGGAAGAGGCTGGCGGAGAGGTCGGCGGAGAGGATGCGGGGGTGCCTGATGACGCTGCTGGTGCCCCGCCGCGCGAGCGGGGGCGGGCGCGCGGGGGAGACGCGGGTGGAGACGGTGAGGAAGCTGAGGCGCGGCGGGTCGACGAGCTCGAAGAAGAGGTCGCGGTCCCAGGTGTGGACGCGCAGCACGGTGCGGAGGATGACCCACGGATCAGATTCATCAGAGGGAGGCGACGACGCCATGGTTGCTGGTTAGTGGTGGTCACTGGCCCTCTTGTTTGAATTGGATTCAGAGAATGGAAGGGAAGGGACAGGACGGGTGGGGATTTTAGATCAAGGGAAGGGACGCCAGGCGGACAGCTTATATAGGTTAGGATATGAGTCGAGCACGAGGGCCAGCGCCCAGCGAGGACGAAGCGTACTTGACACGTCTCTTTTTCCGTTCCGTTTGGGTGCTCTGCTGATCTGCTGACGGTGGGGGCCGGCCGGCCACCGGCATTCTTGTCAAACGGCGTCCGGACGGTGGGGATCCCATTATTGGCATAGACATTAGCAAATGCCTAGAGCAGCTAATTAAGCTACCATTAACATCCAAGGGACAGGGACGGGACGGGCCAACAATTCAATTCATCCCCTTATGATATTCATTCTCATTCTCATGATATTCATTCATGAAGAAGCAGACGACCAAGCTGCATGACATAAACCTGTCAAAATAAAACACAAAACAGTTTACTCGTCGAGCATTCTACGATTCAAAAGATCACACAGCAGTCAACTTGTTTTTCAGCCTGCCCTAAGCACAATTCGGTTCCATTCACCCCAGAGACAGAATACTATTTGTCGTGCCACTGAAATTGTCTGGCGGTATGATAACACATACCACTCTGACATCGATCGATCCAAACAAGAAAGCAGAACGAGATCCAGTTCCCTAGAATAATAACATGTCCATTGTTCATCCTGACGACCTGACATGAGCGATAAACTAGAGATCTAAACTACTACTAAACACTAAGCATGCGTTCGGGCCATGGAACGTGATGCCACATCCTAACACGCCTCTGGTACTAACTTGATGTCGGTCACACCCACATATTGCTTCCTAAACCTGCAGGACCAAAGGAAAACTGTGTATAAGGTATAAGAGGCTTGCTACATTCATCCTTCCTCCAGCAGGAAAACAAGACCTAGGCACAATCACCACCATGAACAACTTAACCTCACCTGCCAAAAAGATCAACCACTATCGCCAATCCCAGCACTTCAAGTTGATGCTGCTGTTGTGGACTCATCATTTGAAGCATTGACAGGTTCATCCCCACCGAAGGCAGTGTTCTGCTGGTATGAAGAAAACACTGTTCATGCTGAAACCAATGTTCATGCTGATTTGTTGTGAAAGAAAAACACTGTCCCGGCTAAAAAAACAAGCCGAATAAGCCGGCTTCTTGCTCAGCTGAACACTGCCGAACACAGGAAATAATAATCCCTTTAGAGAATAGAATATTTGGGGTTCACTACACTGAACTGATATATATATATATATATATACACATGGCGAAAATGAGACACTGAGACTATAGATGTTGAAAACAAAATTAGGAATTAAAATGTGCAATGTAGAGAAGTACTACTTCAATTATCACTTCTGTACATGCCTAAGCATTATCCTTTAAACCAATCCAAGCACATTTTCATAAAAAAAAATCGAATCCAAGCAGAAAGATGTTCTAGCTAGTACCAAAGCTTTCTCATCAGGTGCCGAACGGCTCACTTGCCACACTGTAGCCACAGCAAGGGCAGGCGCCAAAATCAGCCCTGTTGTCACATCTAGTAACTGTAGCAGCACGACAGCTGTACTAGGACTAGATGGATAGAGTTGTATATATAGTTTGCCACTGCAACTCAGAAAACAGAGTTCATATTTGCCATCTTCTATAACAGAGCTCCGGCCAACGCTGATGTCTCTGCTATGTGTGTATGCTCTGTTCTCCCTCCCTTCTTCTACCTCTAGCCATAGTGTGTGGTCAGACAACGTCTGTCGTGCTCGGCCATAGTAGGTAAGACTGGTGAGTGGTCGACTCACCTGAGCCGATGATCTTGTGGGCTAACAATTCTGACTTCTGATGGATATCGGGAGTACTTTCAGGAAGTGGACGGTTTTAGCTAAGTTTCAAGAGGCAAAACTATCTCATAAGGCAAGTTTTTTCATCTTTCCCCTTTTCTCCCTCGGAGGACGTAAAAATAAATTTATTTTGTTTTTTTAACAAGATGATTTGTAAAATTGTTTTTAAGAAAAAAAAAGTGCGTGAATATTGATGAAGCAAGAAGACAGCGAGGGAGTGCACCATATAACTTCATAAGCAAAAGCAACATACCACAACACACCAAAGAACCAAAATATGCATCTACTGAATGATGAAGTTCTGTGGTTAGAATTCTCAAAAAAAAAATGAAGTCCTGTGATTCTGCATGCCTAGTGTTGCAGACGCAGAAGCACCTACAGGCTACAGGCCTGTAAGTTCATGAAAGTATAAGGCAGAGCAATAACACAAGAAACCTATATATATACACACACAAAGGACTGTAACGTACATATAGAGTGCGCTGGCATGCAATCACAGATTTACAGTCACAAGTACAGCGTTACATTGAACTCACTCACTGTCACAGATACTCACTACGGTTAACGTAGAGTTAACGCTTCAACCAACCACATTTATTTACAGCATGTTTTATTTCGACGAACAGTTCCAGATCGATCGCAATTCTTCACAACCGAAACAAATCCACAATAAGTCGATCATGGATTGGTGTGGCAGAATTGGTTGAACCGACCTTACTCGTCCTTCTTGCCGCAGCAGCAGAAGCACTCCAGGCAGTGCTCGCAGGCCTCGTAGCAGCAGAAGCAGCAGCAAAACATGAAGGCGCTGCAAGCAAGGGGAAAAAAATCTGTTCAGCATGATGCATCTTACAAATGAATGTGTAAATTTGTGTTGATGCTTGCGGAAAACATAAGATTCTGCAGATTCTGCAGATGCAGAACAACAACCCATGGGAAAAGCAAAATCGGAACATACTGGAGCAGTTCCCCTCTGAGAATGCAGCCACTAAGACATTTTTTACAAGAATGCAGCCAGTAAGGCATTTGGATATGTAAGATTCAAACTGGGTTCAAAACAAATGCAGTCAGGACGAAAATTCAGAGAAAAAACAAATTGACAGGCAGTAAGAGAATAGAAGAAACCCATCAGACTATGGCAGCCAAAATGTTTCAATTAGTCTATCCCATCCATCACGTTAAGCCTCAGCTTCTATAACATCTCCAGAAGAAAACATGTACAAACAAAACACGGAGCAGTTCATATCCCTTCTTCTCGGTCGTCCTGACCAAGTTTCCCCTGGCCAAGAACTACCATCGCTCATGTCCACCATTGGTTCCTCCTCGGTGAGCTCAGATTTGGAAGTCAAAACTCGCTGCATATCATTCCGGCGGTGTCTCGTAGTCGATCTCCCCTTCGTCCACCGGTCCACTAGCGCTTGAATCCCCATGGTCTGAAGGTTCATCTGGGTGATGCCCAACGTTTGGTGCTGCTTCACAGAAGAAATGGTAGTCAGACAATGGTGAGTGGAAGAGCACCAAACTATTTACACAGTTCTTATCACAACGACGTTAAATTAATGCGATTGGAGGTTTGTCTTGTTACTCTGCTATGACTGCTCTTGTGTGTGAACTGGTTATGCAAAAATAATGCACAAGTACTTGCTAGGAAAACTATTAACCAGCCGAATCTAGTTTCTGACATCAATTGACACTGATAGTGATCGATACAAAATTGCCAAGAGAAAATCTGTAAAAGGTCGATGCAGTATATGTTATACAAGTGTCACTTTTACATAGGAAAAAAGAAATCCTCCATGTAAGAAAAGACTGATTATAAAGAATGAAGTTAGATGAACCCAGTAACTCTGCTGCGACAAGGTGAAAGAGTAATTTCATTTCAATACCAGTATGCAATAATGGAACATCCTATTTATGGGATAATCACTGTTTCAAGAAGCAATTCAAAATGCAATTGTAACTGAGCTTGTAAATCTCTATGCAAACTATCTGCATTTGTAGGGTGCCCAGGCAAAACTTATTACTCTTCACGTAATACAGTCAGGTGGGGATCACTCCTAACATCAGTTATGGAATAATCAGAGCCTCCTAACATCAGTTCAAGTATTGGCACAATCAAGTTATTTGTATTGACAGAAATGTGATCTCAAACTGCGTTCACAGAAAAAAATGGATACCACTACTAGTCAACAGAGAATCACCACAGAAACATTAAATGGTTGATAAAGCACTCATGAGAACAAGATCGCCCCTAATATGAAGTGCATGCTCTATTGCTACCTTTGTCGAATGTGTAACTTCAACTAGTTCAGCTAATACATTTTCAGTCAATAAGGATCAGAAACAGAGAAATGGAAATAACTTGGTTAGCAATTGAGTCTCATTTTAGTAAGGAAGCGAAAACTAGATTATGGTCATGTATCCAAATGAAGCAAGATAGGTAGACAACTGCATTCTGCATCATCATGCAAACTCAAACAGATTTATAACTTTAAAGGCATCCTGGGAGACATCTTTCTAAAACTAATTCACAAACCATGTCACCATGAAACACAATTACATGAGATGTGTACTTCCCTCGGCCAACCTCCTATAAAACAGGGAATGCAGTACTAAGAAGTACAAGAAACTCAAAGGACACATGCATGCTGATCATTAATATACTACATGCAGAAAAATTGATCAGGCAATTCGATCTGTACATTGACATTTGGAGCATGTAACTGCAGAACACAAGCAAGCAGCAGATAAACATCTAATCCAGCAGCAGGAATCACTTGCATGCATGATATCTGAATAGCGGCAACACAACTGGATGAAACAAGCAAGCACAGTAGAATAAAACGTGGTTCCAAGTTGTCTTACCTCCATCCGCGTCCAGGTTCCAAGTGATGAGGTAGCGACTTGTGACCGGCTCGTCGTCCGGCCCTGGCCTGTTCAGCGGCTCATATTGCTCACAGTCCACCACCGTGTGCTCCGGCACATTGACGCCAAAGAGTCGCTGGTTCAGGGAGAAGTAGACCACATTGGAGTTCACCGGGGAGACGCCCACGAGCATGGGAGGGTTCGGCGGCAGCCCGGTCTGGGCGTAGCTTTCGTGATCCCAGATGTCCTCGAAGCT